TAATAGTTAACATGCACCGAAGCACGTAAACGAACGTAAAGCCTCATTACTGAACGAAACAATCGTCAAAACTACAGTTCCCTATTGGCTGATAGCACTCAATCCGTTCTCAACCGTATAATAGCAAGCTCTTATTGGATAAACGTTTGGCATAATTTATTCGCACGAAAGTTGGCAGTGTGTTGGTGATTTACATACGATTGCTTATGTACGTACGGAACGTAAACGCGAAATTTGCATGCATGAGATGTTGTAACCATAGATATCTTATATACAGGGTGTCCCAAAAAAACCGAAAAACCATTGAAATAACGTATTGTTAAAATTTGAATGCCCTAGCACTAAGCCGAACGCAAAGTGCCAAAGATGCGTAAAGTATTAAGAAGTGTGCATATATTAAATATTGACTTACTAAGAAATTAAAATATCTTTGCAAAGCACACGATTTTCTGCTCTAGGGAATTTAAAACAGCTTCTTAAACGTTTTTTATGCATAAAATTTACTTACGTCAAGCTTTGATGCACATGTGGGTTCAGCATAGTGCTGAGGCATTCAAATTCTAACAATACATTTATTTCAATAGTTTTCGTTTTTTGGGGACACCCTGCACACTAGATAGTGCATCTAATTATTCTGCAATTCAAAAATTGAAGCCGTGATTGCAGTTCATGTCGTTCCCATAAAATGAGAAGATTCGTATGTTCTCTATTTCTTAAACAGGGCCCGAAACTTAGACATTAAGTTAACCCTATTCCAAATACATTTTTAAACTATTCAAATGATGAAAGTTATTGTTGTTTTTGAGCGTTTTATAACTCGAGACGTCTCGCTCATTCCCTGAAAAACTGGCACGCTTGATGCATGCCATTCTTTACCTAGTAAACTAGAACTCAGAATATCCGCAGAATGTTAACTGATTACTCAGTGATATAACTTTGGAAGTCGACCTGGCCGCTGTTTGTACACGAAAATTTAGTTCATTTTCAATGGAATTTGGTGACTCGACAGTCTCGTGCCATATCATATGCTGTACTGTATATGAATTTGCATGAAAGTAAACACAATTCCCAAAGGGCAAAATTGCAACAGATGTCTATACTATAGACATTGTCATTGCGCTACTCAATACAGTATGTTTCGTAAATATTTCGATTCCCAAAGCCAAAGGCAAACATATTTGTGAAGAGTTTAAATTCGTTCATGAATCAATCATGACCCTTATACGAGATTTATAGCGAGGATATGTACATGTCAACGATATTTCAGCATTGAAGCATGCATATAAGCACTGCGAGCCAGAGTAAAACGATTTTAATTTAAAATCGATAAAAGAAAATGGATCGCTAGAAATTTTTTATGGCCAGTCTGTTTTGGGGATTTGACCTTGAAGGCTGAACGACTAATTAATGTATTCTCAGTCTTGTGACCAGTTAGTGTCTGGAGAAGTTTTAAGATTCAAACATTTTCTGTGCAAATAGTTGGACATATGTCTGCACGAGAATGAAAACTTTGTATGTGCAAACATATTTTCGCACGATGCGATAGTACGTTAGGCAATTTCTAGACTTTATAGTGATCTACACGACTACACATGTCGACGTAGCTTCAAATCGAAATTGTGATTAACTGACAACATGATAAAATCTTTAGAATTCGCACATTTTACAAACAATATGCATATCTATGGTCTCATTTATAACATATTACATGTGGAGCCAATCAGAATTCAATTTCTTACGTTTGCAAATTAACATAACTGAATATACGTTCGTTTACGTGCTTCGGTGAATGTTAACTAATAGAGCTAAATCGTTGCACTCTGAACTTGCGATACCTTAGTGAAATGTCACGTACGTTTGTGGCACCGACAAAACTACGAAAATACAAAAGGCCC